CCTAAGACGTCCGTTCGTCTAGCCCGCCGCCATACCACCATGAAGAGAAAACAACAACAACAACAACAACAACAACAACAACAATGACAAACACCACAACCACCACCACCACCACCACCAACAACAACAACAACAAACACAATTTGGAAGGTGTGTTTGAGGTGTGATCAAAGCTTGGTTACCAAAATAATCGTGGGGAAAAAAAAGAAATTAAAAAAAAACACCACCAAAACCCCCAACAAAAACGAAAAAAAAAAAAAAAAAAAAGGAAGATGTGCTAGAAGTGTGCTGAGGACTTCGTCACCAAAATGATTTTATCATTTCATTCAACTCTACAGTTCACTTTTTGGATAGAACTCGTCTTTGTCTTTGAAATCCCTAGGTCTGGAATCGAATAATCAAATCATCAAATAATCAAATCATCAAATCATCAAATAATCAAACTATAATCAAATAATCAAGTAACGAAATACAGAAAGTGGCACTGCACAAAAACTACCAAAAGAAGACCCGTGTGCCCGCTTTTTGATTCTAAAAAGAAACGGTTCATTCAGAATTTCTATTCTAAAAATTAGGTAATAGATGTATTTAATACTAATGCAAGTATCACGGGAAGGAAATTAAGTATCAATTAATAAGCATAAACAATGACAGTCTCATTATGTATTTACATAATATTAATCTCCAGCAGTAGAATCAAATAAAGAGACAGGAAATGAAATAATCTAATAAGCAACTTTTTCTAAGGACTGAAACAGTCGAAGGGATTTCAATGTTGTTGAATTAGTGGAAGGATTTGCATGTTCATTTCTCTAGTGGAAAAGATTTTAGGATTCCCTTGAAACTGGGCTTTTAATACTTCTTTTTGTTCTTCTTGCTATATAAAATGTTGTTGTTGTTGTTGTTGTTGTTGTTGTTGTTGTTGTTGTTGCTGCTGCTGCTGCCGCAGCTGTTGTTGCATACCCTTGTTGTTGTTACTTTTGTTGTTGTTGTTGTTGAGGATGTCCTTCTTTTTCTTTTTCTTCTTCTTCTTCTTCTTCTTCTTCTTCTTCTTCTTCTTCTTCTCTCTCTCTCTCTCTCTCTCTCTCTCTCTCTCTCTCTCTTAAAGGCACGCAGTCAACTAGTATGTCAAAACGTGGTGGAATCAGGCGCTCGAATCGTCATTTTTGAGGCATATGAGGTTATTGGTATCATCTTAAAGCCTGTTTATTAGTCTTCCTTTTGGCGAAAAATTACTTTCTATATTAAATAGAAGTCAAAATATTTGCGACTGAAGGAGGTCAGAGTCGCCTGGTTTCAGATGTAAAATTAGAGAGAAAATGGCCCCCAAAGTAGCTTGAGAGTCCTTGGAAACTGAAAATTTACATTTTTTTCGTGCCCTCAATCAATATTTTTCCAGTAAAATCCACATAAAAAGTGTGTTTTTAAATGGACGTAAATGGTGTTGAAAATTCGAGAAAAAAAATTGCCCAACGACCAAAAACATGCCGATTTCTTTGAGTTCATTAGCTAAATAAGCGCGACGAAGACGCCCCCCCCCCCAATTGTCGCGAAGATAAGCGGCTGTTTTAAACAAGTGGGCGTCTTTGACAGTGTGTCATTTTATAATAAGTAATGTAGGCGGGCAAGGGGGAAGTGGTCGTTTGTACAGGTGATTGTCTTGGACAGGTGGCCATTTGAGCAAGTTCGACTTTATACGACATGTATACACACACCATAGCAGGTGCGTGGACAGCATACACATTTTTGCATCTTATCTAGTTTATAGGACGTATAGGTTCCACGACTTTCACATTGTTCGCTGTTCGTCCATGGTGTGAAATACTTCCAGGTGTCCTTGCCCGCTTTTTCAACGACGTAACGGTTTTCTTTTTTTAACAATTTCATAACGAAAAACTTGATCAAAAACGAAGAACTGCGCTGCTATAGATGCTCTCCAATTTAGTAATACTATTTTCTTGTGAACAATTGTACAGCTATCGTCTAAGTCTTCAACACGGACACAAACATATGCTTATTTTTCAGACTTCCATTTACATTGAAAAAGAGAAACTAAAAGTCAATCTCTTTGTCTACTACATTGAAAACAGTAGAAGCATTAAACCAAAGCGTTTTCATTTCATATCCCTGGTGGAACGTTCACTTGACAGCCCACTTCTCGTCTAGTCATTGTATTTCAAAGCAATTTTACAGCGTTCTAGCACTAATCGAATTTGCTGTCAAAGTAAAGCTTCGTGGGCAACATTTCAGACAGGCTAATAATCAAAAGATAAAGAGCCGTGAATTATTTGCCATCTCAGGTTACCGTGCTTCGTGACTTAGATTGGAATACGATATCGGAAACGCACATTCAATATCAAATTCGGCCTTTGAAATATGAACATTCTTATATTTCGCTTGTTTTTATGATTTTTGAGACTATCTGGCGTAATGGTGCCCCTCTGTCCCTGCACTTAAAAATGTTATTAAAGCTGCTAAGGTCATTCACACACAAAAAAAACCACCCACCAACCCCTCCCCGTAAAAAACTAACCCCCCCCCCCCAAAAAAAAAAAAAAAAAAAAATTAAAACAAAAAAAAAATCGGGAGAAGATAGAGTCATGTTGCAGCCAGAAAGTCAAACGGAAATTAATTTTGTGAAGAACGTAATTGTTGGTCTCAGATTTCCTGCTGCGTCGTGTTTTCTGTATTTGTTTGCCTTTAATATCAGTCTTGGAATTTTGAGAAAACTAGTTAGTTGTTTTGATCGCTCTTTGTGCAAATAGGTTGAATAAGATAAAATATACAAACGTGATAAAGTTATTGTGGCAGTTAAAATGCTCGCAATCTTGAGGTAATTTTGCATGCCGTTATTGTTTCTGCCGCTGTTATCATTAATATGTTATTCTTTTATTGTTGTTTCTGGGTTTGTAAGAAGGAGCTGTCGTAAAAAAAAATGTTTATGTTTAAAGTTGTATTCCTCCAGGTCTCTATCGATCTATCCGTCACTGCCCCCCCCCCCCCCTTCTCTCTCTATTTCTCTCCTTTCCTCATTATCACTATTATTATTATTTTATTTTTTAAAAATTATTATTTTTTAAAATATTGTTATTTTTATTAATATTATTGATATTGTTGTTGTTGCTGCTGTTGCTGTTATTGCTGTTTTTATTATTACTGTTATTATTGTTGTTATTGCTATTACTATCATTATTATTATTATTACTATTATTACAATCTTATTATTATTATTACTATCATTATTATAATATTATCATGTTGTTATTATTATTATTATTAATAATAATAATACTAATATTACTATTACTATTATTATTTATCATTAGCTTTGATATTATTATTAGTATTACTACTACTTCTACTATCATTATTATTATATTATTATTATATAATTATTGTTATTATTATTATTATTATTATTATTATTATTACTGTTACTATTATTTTTATTATTACTATTACTATTATTACTATTATTGCTATTATTACTATTGTTATTATTATTATTATTATTATTATTATTATTATTATTATTATTATTATTTATATTGATATTAATATTATTATTAATATCATCATCATGATCATCATCATAATTGTTATTATTATTATTATTAATAATATTATTATTATTATTATTATTATTATTATGTAATAGTAATAATAATAATAATAATAATAATAATAATAATAATAATAATAATAATAATAATAAAATGAAAGGTACACTTCTAAACTGTTGACGATGATCCTGTTAACCAGCCGCTATCAGCGTTCGCCCTTTGCTTATGGGTCTGAAGTGGTACAGACGAGTAGTCCTGACAGGCTCATTATAGATATTATGCAAAGTTCTAACGTCGTTTCTTTTCTCCATCTTCTCTACAGGTAACTAAAGAGCAGCGCCTGCCTCTCCGGAGAGCAAAGGTTTCACAGAGGTCCCATTTATGAATGTCACAAGGATACATCCATTTGGATAGCAGCGATACATGATTCGACTTTCAAAGAAGAGCAAGCCATCTCCTATTGTATATTTGTGTGCGTGTATGTGCGTGAGTGTACAGATCCTTAAAACGTGGAGAAATTGATGGCTGTTTCTCGCTGTTTGCTGGCTTTACAAAGTTATAGAAATAGCAATTTTAAGAGTCTCCGGGACAAAAAGCTTCTTTTTTCGCAGTGAAATTACGAAGCATTTGAGATTGTGTTCATATTGATCTTGTGTTACATCCTAATGCCTCAAGTGTAAATAAAATATCACCTTAGAGATCGGAATTCATTTTTATAATTGATAAGATGAAAAAGCAATCCTATATGTTATATCTCTTTGATACATTTATTCTCAAAACGAGACATGCGGAATTGATAGTAAAGATGCAATTGAGATCTACGTCATGAGTGCACATATTATATCTTATTGAAATATTCAACATTTTCTGTTCACGCCCAACACAACATTTGACCGACTCCAGAATTTCTAACGTTAAATATCCTAAAGCAAAACTGAAACTAGGCAAATATTAGACTTATTGTGGTAACAACAGTTCTCGCATAGAGTGGTTATTAGATCCACGTTTCGGTGGAACCCCCGAAAGCAGAGTTTTCAGACGTTCGGGACGACATATATACGCCCCTTTGGGTATGTAAAGGAGGTTGAGGCAAACAGACCTCAACGACAGCAGCTGTTCTTTCAGTCTGGCTGGTGACCAAGTCAAACTCAAACTTCGAACATCCATTATTCATATTTACCAACAATTTCTTTCTTTCTGTAAACGAAACCGCCATAACCACAATGCTCTTTGGTGCTTGAGAGGGCGAAAACCTTTCAAATTTGTTTAATAACCTGAGAAACACCTACCACCAAAGTCCCACCAGTGGAGTCGCTCTTAATTTCTTCAGTTGTTCCCCCCGGCCATGACAGACTCGCACCAGGTCCCATGTCGCTGTTCCGCAACAAGTTCCTTTTCTCTATGAACACGACCACCACGACAACTGCCTTAGCCGCC